TGAAGAGTGGGGTGAATGCATGAAGGCCCACTATCTTTAAATCAAATTTATAACACTGACCTTATAAGGGTGTGGTGAGCACTAAATGCCAGAAATGGATATTCTGTTTTTAGTAATGTGAACTTAAGTGAGTATCATTAACAAATTAAAGCACTTAACACTGGGCCTGGCATAAAGTAGGCATTTACCAACTGTTTGTTCCCTTTCTTTAGGTGTGCACAAAACTAGACTTTATGCCCAAAGGTATATGAGTCTTCCATTCATAGGGAAAACAAATTTTACAAGGTTCTCTATTGGGTTACTATGAAGCAAATGGGGTTGATGGAATACAGTTACAACTAGGCTTTTCGCTGAACTGGACCAACAAGAGAACTAGTGCCATGTTAGATATGTACTAGAAATCAGTGTGCAGGAAGCAGGTTCAAGTAAACTCAAGAGTCAAAACCAATACCAGGAAGTGGAATGGATAATTTAGTACATAAATGCTCAAAGTTATAGTGGCAAACAATGACTGGACAGCATGGTCTAGGCACCAAGATCCTTCTACTGACTCTACTAAATAGTGTAACTCACTTCTGGCACTTTTGTTTTTAAAATGTGAGCAGTGAATCTTGCATGAAGATGATATTGAGGATCCATGACACTATACTCCTTTGAAGGTTCTTCCATTCTCTTGGCTAAGTGAGACCTGAAATTTCATAGGGAGAAAATGAAACATACTCACCAATGTAGAAGGCTTTATGGATATGACTTAAGCTCCCAGAGCTTTCTTAAGGGCATGTGTGTTAGATTTTGCCAAAATGCTGGTATATCCTAAATGCTCTATTTTGTTTCAGGAATGACTAATGTGGTCATAGGCTCACCAGTGCTGGGTAGAAAAGATCTTCCATCCATAAAGGGGTGATATCTGTTTTTCCATCCTGGATGGAGATAAAGGCAGTGACAGCATGGGCCCTATGTGCTGCCATCTGGACAGAAGAGAAGTGGTGAAAGTTAGGACAATTATATACTCCTCCCTCTTTAGAGGTGCTTTTCTGGGGTTCAGGTCTGTAATCATGCATTATGCCTTCATCCACGACGATATATTCTAATGGTTAGACTGAACTGTGTAGTATTTTAAGTAATTAATTGGGTTTAACTTGGTGGTATTTCCTTGGTGTTACCCCAGTGTTCACAGCAGCAATGTCCACAATAGCCAAACTGTGGAAAGAGCTGAAATGCCCCTCAACAGACAGATAAAGAAGATGTGGTCCATACATACAATGGAATATTACTCAGCCATCAGAAAGGATGAATACCTAACTTTTGCATCAACATGGGTAGGACTGGAGGAGATTATGCTGAGTGAAATAAGTTGAGCAGAGAAAGTCAATTATCGTATGGTTTCAATTACTTGTGGAACATAAGGAATAACATGGAGGACTTTAGGAGAAGGAAAGGAAAAGTGAAGGGCGGAAATCAGAGGGGGAGACAAACCATGAGAGCCAGTGGACTCTGAGAAACAAACTGAGGATTTTAGAGGGGAGAGGGGTGGGGGGATGGGTGAGCCTGGTGCTGGGTATTAGGGAGGGCATATATTGCATGGAGCACTGGGTGTTATACATAAACAATGAATCTTGGAACACTACATCAAAAACTATTGATGTATTGTATGGTGACTAACATAACACAATAAAAATTTTAAAAAAAGAAGTAATTACTTATGGCAGGTACCATGGTTCTGGGTATGAACAGAGTTAACTGCAGTAATTAAAAACCATAGACATTTTGGAATTTTATTACAGCTGTAGACAAAAGAGAGAGATTTAAAAAATGAGGATGACTGTTGATGTAAGGCTCCCAGGGAGGCCAATCTTCTGTGGACTCACTATGGTTTACACTATGGTACTGACTTTGCATCATGAGAATCTTTTACCCCCACCCAGGGCACTCATCAGTGATTGGGATCTGGAGGATTGATCCTATTAAAACCCACAAAAAAAGTGATGTATAAGTCAAAACCAATTTATTTATTTATAATGAGAATTAACTGCTAAATAGGCTAGAATATTCATGTCAGTTGATTAACAAATTTTCTCCTCATAACAAAGTTTATATGGGAACATAATGACAATCAGATTACTTCTCAGCACATAGGGTCACAGCAAGGGGAGTTAGGTGGCAATATGAATGGCTAATAACATAAGTTGGGATGGCCTGGTGCCTGGACCCCACTGTATATAGACCTGCCAAATCATTTATTGGTCAACATCCCCTCTCTGAGTCTGGAGAGATTACCCTATGGCTCTTTAACTGCCCCCTTTTCTAGACTCCCTAAAGACTATTCTCTTGTTAACAATTCCTTCTTCAGACTTATAAAATGATTAGACCTTATCTTGCTGGATGGTCATCAATCATGTAGCAGATCTGCCTTCCTGAAACTACAATTTTGACTGGACTTGGGGATTCCCCAAGCCTTTGTAGTTGCAGACCAAGTATGTTACATCTCATCTGTTCTTAGTAGATTTTAGTTTCACTCTCAGAGAAGTTCACTTTGGTATAAGTTCTGATATCTGTGTAGCTCTCTTTATTTTAAATAATGAGTTTGTTCTAGTTGAAGTGGATGGCGTCATTATAACAAAAATTTTAAGTGATAAACACAATTCTGGCTAGCTAGTAGACAGTAAAGCATTATCTCAGTATCCTATCCGTATGCTCAGTATGATTGTTGGATTGTATCACATAGAACACAAGAATTCCTTGACTAGGAATTCCTCAACAAGGGGCTTCTAGAAATGGGAGGTTTAGTAGCCCAGAATTAATTATCTGTTCCAAGAGGCTATGAAATCTGAAGATTTCGTGGAGAATAAGGTGATGTTGCTGCAGAGAGAAGGTACAAACAGTAAATAAGGTGATGCATCTTTGTGAGAGAGCACATAATGACAAATTATGTCCCCAAGGTAAGGAAAGATTGGTGATGAAGCATTCCAAGACCATACTGGAGTCAGTAAGGAAAGTGACTGAAGGCTGTTGGGTTACTCTCTTGTTATAAAATTGAGGGTGCTAGATCAGGATACCTCCAGGTAATCCCAGAGACATTTAAAGTTTAAATAAATCTACTTGCTAGAGGCTTTCCTATAATCCCAGTACCATAGTGAGAATTTCTTGGCATAATTGGAATATGTACATTCCAGTCTCCTTGTTGTGAGAACATATGGAGTAAGGTGGATGTATAGCAAGCCATTAATAAAGGAGACCCCTTGTGAATACAAATTAGGTTTGGCACAGTGGTTAGTGAGGCACTGATGGGAAAAATGATCTACTTGTTAGTTAAAGGATGAAAGTGGTAAGGTCCTAGGTGGGTTTAAGAATTGTCAAAGTTAGCATAATTCTTCAGGAACAAGGCCAAAGTACAATAACACTTCATGTTCTGAGAGGTCTTGATGGCTGCTAGGGAATATGGAGTTACTGATCTTCAGGAAATCAATTATGGGGACATACATCAGCACCAAGAAACAGGGAACAGAGGACTGAATATTACTAGCAAGCATCAATTGTTACTGGATATCTTTAACAGTTTAGAAAATTGTGTCTCTCCAGCATGACACTACTTTTGTTCAGAAGCATTAGGAATCCATACACGGAGCTGATGTGTGTGCCTGTGTGCAAAGAGCACAACACAAGCAATCAAACTCACTTCTTCTTAAGATTTATTTGTCAATAGTGTTGAAGTCCATGCCCCAGGATTTGTCAGATGGGATGGTTCAGAAAGTTGTTTGCCATTATTTGCTTTTCAAGATTCTCAACTAAATGAGGATCCCCAGAGATGATCCATAAGGGTACAGAGCTCAATATCAATGGTAGTGATCCTAAATGGTGACCACACTGAGACCTCTAGAGACAGAAACTACTACAAAGCCTGACCCCAAGTCTTCAGTGGAGATTTATTTAACCAGGTTCCCTTACCTGCCAGGTAAGACAGCAAAGACATGCTATAGACATAATAATTATGATGAAAATTCCTTCCCCAACTTTTGTTAATATTATTCAGAGGTCATTATCCTAGACCATTTAAACTTGGCCATTAGACATGCTATAACCTGAAGTAGGTTGTTGGGAAAGAGGAGAATAACTTGGAATTAGTTGGGTTTGGCTAAAAACATGTATGTGTCTGATAGGCTAGTTCTCAAGGAAATAGACCAACAATTCCAATCAGTCTTCAAATGGCCAGGCCATCTGGTTTTTCAGTAGTTAAGAGATCCAGGGTGTTTTTCTTTTCTTTTCTTTTTTCTTTTCTTTTCTTTTCTTTTCTTTTCTTTTCTTTTCTTTTCTTTTCTTTATTTTCTTCTTTCTTTCTGTATTTCTTTTCTTTTCCTTTTCTTTTTTTAGCAAGTAGAGGTCTTTAAATGGCAACAAAATACATAGCTGTATGGAATAATAGTGGAGCTGTGTTTCCATGAAGATTGGTTTGTATTGAAGCTGGACTCTAGTCAATAGGTAGGAGCAGGTTTCAGCTTCCAGTAGAAAAATGTTGGTAGGATATGGAATGCAATCAGGAATTCAAGGTTCCTAAACCAACAGGGAACTATAATACAGATGGATGAGGGTTAGGGTGAAAGTCTTGGGTCCAATCTTAGGCACAGAAGACTTAAGCCAACAAACTCAACCCAGATCTCACCCATTGGAAGGAATGGGGTTCTCAGTGCACTTCCAGGGTTGTTTTCATTTGGCTCAGACTGGCTAGAATTTCATCTACAGACTTTCAGTACTCTTGGGGAATTGGTTCCAAATGCAGAAAGTGCCTGTGAGTTGTTTTCATCATTGTTGGGTTGGGTTTGGTTTGGTGATGGGTGACCAAATGAACAAAATCTAGTTATTTAAATTTCCAGAAGCACATGAGTTCATGACAGTCTATGAAGTGGTATCACAGTTCCTCACCTGTATTTTAAGTGTTAGTGCAGGATATACATTTTTAAGGCTGGAGGTGAGAGGGAGATAAGTTTACAATGTGACCTGCTCTCTTACTGGTGAGTTGGGTTGTTTATCCTTGCTGGGGCTCGAGAACGTTTGGCAAGGCAATCTCTTGTGAAGTGACCAGCCTGGCTGCAGTAGAGGCACAACTGAGCTTCTTGCTGGTGGGCTCTTTTGGCCGGAGTGAGTGGTGGCTGGCTTCCACGCAACTGTATAGGTTCTTCCTTGGGTGGCAGATCTGTGGGGATGGAAAAGGCTTGGTGGTGGATCAAGGAATCCAACACTGGGAGCTGGGTCTCTGACTGAAGAAGCTCTGGCCTTTCACTACGTTTCTTGTCCAACTGAATACACTGAGTGATCAGGTCTGGAAGGTTATCCATCATATCTGTGCCACTCAAATCATCCTGGATGGAGTCAGCTAGTCCTTCTTGGAAGTGATCACTCTGACTGGTTTCATTATAGCTCAGATTTTGAGCAAGGTGCTGGAAAGTAGAAGCATCTTGCTGAGAAGAGTTGTCCTCTTTGTTCAGAGGGTCTATTTCCTGTTTTGTAGGCATACCAAATGATTGCTGGAACTCAAAAACAAAGTTCTCATATTGTTTCTGCTGAGTGCTCTGGTCAGGCCCAAATATGACTCCACAACTTTCCATCTGCTGAGATAGGTAGTCAAAAAAGAACTTGATTTGGACATCATCTGCAGGATTGGGGAACTTGAGAGTTGTCAACTGTGCAAGAAATATTGAGAGGTTGGCAGGGTCATGGTGAAACTGAGAGAGATGTTCAAGTGAGCGGGGTACAGACATCATCACGGTAGCCAGGGTAGGCATGACTTGGCCTCTCAGATCAGAGCCCTCTTCATTTAGATGCTGTATTTGTGGCTGTAGAATCAGATTCTCAGTCTGAAGGGAGGAATGCTCTACTTGCAAGGTAGGTGGTGATTCTGTGTACTTCTCCATTGGATCTTCTGAAATCAAGTGAGACTAAGTAGAATTGAGTGACAGTACTGGACACCAATGGGCAGACAGTAGGTTTCCTCTGTTATCAGAAAAATAGTGTCATGAGCAAGTAGCCAAAACTGCTACTTATGAAGCAGTCACAAGGGGACACTGAGAGATGAATTGGAGAGATGCCAAAACTGTTGCCCACTATTCAATGTTGACTCTTCTTATGGAGAATGCCAATGTTCTGCACATTCAGAAGTGATAAATTACCCTAGAACACATAGAGAATTAGAATTAAGAAGACAAATACAAAAGTCACAGATTTCTCTCCATTCCCTTTCCTTGTAATATAGGGGGAAATTTACCGTCGAACTAAGCCTTTGATTCTAAAGTATCTCTTTTTTTATCAGAGATTATTATTATTATTAAAGATTACCCAGGCCAAATTCATAATTTCATGAATGAGAAAACAGAGACCCAGAAAGGTAAAGATGTTTGCCCAAGGTCACACAACTACTTAATATCAGAGCTGGCATGCTCACCAGTACTACTGTCAGAAACAGCACTTCCTCCAGGACCACAAATATGTTAATTTGTGCATGCTACTTGGGCATGATGATGGTTCATGGCCCTTGCTACTTAAAATGTAATCTGGGAGCCAGCACCATCAGCATCACCACTGTTAGAAATGCAGACTCTCAGGTCCCAACCCAGACCTACTGAATTAGTATTCCACTTAAACAGATTTGCCGGGTGATTCAAATGTGCACTGAAATTTGAGAAAAGATTTTTTAGAGAGCAAGTAGCTTATCTGGAATAATCACTGGTTGGACTTGAACCTCAATGCCCCAACCCTAGCCTGCATTTCTGTAGTGATCTGATTACTATGGTGGTAGTTAAACCATGTTTTTTTAGTTCCTAGTCCTTATCTAAGGTCACATTTGGCTGTAATGGAGGCTTAACATACCACAGGCAAGATGAAGAGGTGGTTGGGAACTTAGTAAACAAGAACAGAATATTCTTAAAAGTATAAAGATCAAAATGTTTAGTAGTCATCCCTGCATTGATAACGAGAATAAAGGAATCTGTTAGTTAAAAAAACAAACCCCAAACATACGGCATATCAGTTGAACTATTCTGCAGTATAATTCCTCTCATTGCCCTTTCCTTGTGTAGCATACCATTTAGTTGTATATAAATTGGTCACTAGTGGGCAAAAATGTGCATCATTGAGTGTAGGACTTGATTCTCTAGGTTTTGTTTGCTGGCTCCTCCTCTCTGGACCTATGGAAGAGATTACTGGAGGATTGAAACTGTGTAAGATTAGAGGCCAGAAACTTACCCAAACACTGGCATTAATCAGTTGGATGACATTAAAGAACTCATTTGGGTCTCAATTTCCTCTTTACTCTAATGAGGTTGACTAACTTGTCCACATCAGAGGGTTGTGGTATCAATGAGATAGTAGATAGATGCTCTAAGTGGCAGAGAGATGCTCTCAAGATTGTTCCAGGGCAGCTAACAATATCATTGGTGAGGCTCTTTCGTTGTTGCATATTTCCAAAGAAGGCAGATACTGTCATATTCTTTCTTCCTTCCTTCCCATATCTCACCATTCTAGTTAGTCTACCTTTTCATTTTCCAGGTGCCCATTCACGAATTTATTTCTGTCAATCTAGCTAGGTGTCATTGAAAAGTAAGATGTTAATTAATTAATGAGGTTTAATGATTGGCCTTTCTCAAGTCATTCACCTTTTCCTCAAACGTTAATGCACATAAGAAACAACTTGGCACCAATCTCCAACAATTCCAATTCCTGGGGTGGATGCCAGGAATCTGTACTTCTAGCAAGCTGCCCAGGGGATTTCTGATGTTGGTGGTCCCTGTGAGAAAGCCATCCAGATGAACCTCAAGGAATAAAGCCATATTATAACATCACAAAAAGTAAGAATGGGGGAGGGGACATATTTGGAAGTAGGAGGCCCTCAAATGACATTGAATAATAGGTGGCATATACTTCTGCATAAAGTCCACAGAGAGCTCACACTGTTTTTCAGAACTGTTCTTCTCTCCCAGACAGTGGAGTGTAAGAATTTAGCCTGTAGGTTCTACAGTCAGATTGACCTGGGTCCAAATCTTGGGTTGGCCAAAAGTCATGTGACTCTAGAAAGTTACTTAATTTCTCCAAGAACCAGTTTTCAACCTTTAAAATGGAGGTGATTTTAACACCTTCCTCATAGTGTTGTGAGTATTAAATGAAATGAAAAGAGATTAGCACAGCTTCATGTACATGGCAGATGATTCATAAATGTTAGCTATCATTTTGCTAGGTCCACAGTCTGTTATCTGTGTTTTATAATTTAATTTTTTTTTAATTTTTGAAAGGTAACACAGAGTTTGTACTGTTTATTATATAACACTTCCAGTGGTTCTGGGAAAATATCCCATAATTCAGCCATTAATTATTCAGGAAAAATGTAGGAAAAAATGTCAGAATATTCATACTAAAAGAAAGAAAGACCAAGTTCATGTCAGTTTAGGTCAGATTTGATATCAAATTAATGAAAAAATAACTCTGTTATAGAGAGCTCTTTGATTTCAGAATCGAAAATAAGAGGTATAGACCTCTCTACCAAATTCTTCTTTTGGTTGGAAGAGTGTGATTATAACTTTTCTTTCTTTGTTCCTGCCTCTGTCCTTTCCCTCCACCCTCAGCAATTCCAGAATATCTGTAGAGGTTTCCTGTTTTTTTATAGAATTGTATATTCAAGGTTGCAGAGCATTTAATTTTTCTAATTATGTAGCATTGGTGAAACACTTGCCAAAATTATAAGCATTTGTCCAAATGCAAATCATACAATGGCACTGTTGTCAATGGTAATTTCTCAATCTCTCAAAGAAAATCTATCTTACCTTATTGTTTTGGAAATTACTCTCCTTTTAGAATGGCCTTTATCAGATTGTCCCAGCAGATCCTGGGGTAGAGCATGCCAGTCTGGAGGAGTTCCAGACCTCAGTCTTGAGGAGATAAAGCAGAAACTAAGCTGGAACCTCAAATGCACAGTTTGGGGAATCAGACTAGTGAGTGTGGACCAGGTCTGACATAAAACTGCATATGTTTAAGTTTTTACTTGATTGCCATGTGCTCAATTACAAAAACAACAAGGCAAAAATAAATTTAGTAAACTCTTAAAGGCCATTTTGGTGTTTATGTTCAGTTTGACTTAAAGCCAAGGTTGATGGTTTCCCTGCATGAAACTACTCCATGCTGGAGTCCTCTGAAACTCCATTTGTGAAGGGCCTGAATTACCTTTCTGCTTGTAAGAGAGCTTTATGACTTTACACTACTTTATTTCCAAACTGTTCTTCACTAAACTTTGGAGAAGTTTTCAACTACTGTCATCCAACTACCCAGAGCACTTGCATTTTTGCTCTAGAGCTCTAGATATTCTCAGGGTAGCTCTGGCCATGAAAGCTAAACTGAGACATAATCAACCCTCAAGAGGTAACCACAGGGGCATACCATTTAGATTTGTTTGGAGATTTGGGTATAACCCTAGCTCTGCCATCATCTAGACTGACAACATTGGGCAAGTCACTTCCTCTATCTTATCTGTATGATGAAGGGAGAGGGTTTCTCAAATTTTATCACATATAAGAAATTAGGATTCAGGAAAGCTAGGAGACCCAGAAATCTGAATTTTTTATAGGCACTCCAAATGATTCTGTGGTATGAGGTCTTCAGATTTTACCTTGGGAATATTGGGCAACTGACCACACAGAGCTACAACATTTGTCAGAGGTTCTCAAGTTTCAGGGTACATAAGAATCTCTTGGAAGTTTAATATGCAGATTCTTGGGCTTCACCCCTAGAAGGTGAAACTCATTGGGTCTGGGGTGGGCCCAGATAATCTGCATTTTAATCAAGCTCTGCAGATGATGCTGATGCAGAAGTTTCTCTGATAGTATTTGAGAAACTCTAGGTTGAATACTCTAAAAAAATGGGCAGAACACATGAACAGACACTCCTCCAAAGAAGACATACAAATGGCTAACAGACGCATGAAAAAATGTTCGTCATCATTAGCCATCGGGGAGATTCAAATCAAAACCACATTGAGATACCAGCTTACTTACACCAGTTAGAATGGCCAAAATTAACAAGACAGTAAACAAGTGTTGGAGAGGATGTGGAGAAAGGAGAACGCTCTTACACTGTTGATGGGAATGCAAGTTGGTGCAGCCACTTTGGAAAACAGTGTGGAGATGCCTTAAGAAATTAAAAATAGAGCTATCCTATGACCCTGCAATTGCACTAGTGGGTATTTACTCCCAAAGATACAGATGTAGTGAAAAGAAGGGCCATCTGTACCCCAATGTTCATAGCAGCAATGACCACAATCGCCAAACTGTGGAAAGAACCAAGATGCCATTCAATGGACGAATGGATAAAGAAGATATGGTCCCTATATACAGTGGAGTATTATGCCTCCATCAGAAGGGATGAATACCCAACTTTTGTATCAAAATGGATGGGACTGGAAGAGATAATTCTGAGCGAAATAAGTCAATCAGAGAGAGTCAATTATCATATGGTTTCACGTACTTGTGGAGCATGAGGAATAACACGGAGGACATGGGGATATGGAGCGGAGAAGTGAGTTGGGGGAAATTAGAGGGGGAGATAAACCATGAGAGACTGTGGACTCTGAGAAACAAACTGAGGGTTTTGGAGGGGAGGTGGTGGAAGGTTGGGTGAGCCTGGTGGTGGTTATTATGGAGGGCACATATTGCATGGAGCACTGGGTGTGGTGCATAAACAATGAATCTTGGAACACTGAAAAGAAATAATAAAATAAAAGAAAATAAAATGGGGGGGAAAAGAATCTTTCTGCTTTAGCACTATCTACGTTTTTGAAAGTAGAAAATATTTGGCTCCTAAAGTGGCCTGTGAAGCATGTGATATGTGGATTGCTTCCTTCCGAGGCTCTGCCTGAGACTGTATGGTCATGTCT